AAGGCCAGCTGGATTGAGGGTTTGATGTGGTCAGGAACAGAGAACGATTGTGCACTCAGGTGGAGAAATGAAAAATGTGAATAAATGCAAACAATTAATGCCTAACCCGATATGGTGGGGTCTCATGGATAGGAAGTCATGGGGATCAGTGAGTCCTGACCATCAAAACGCAAGCCAAGCAAACGGGAGACCACGGTAGAGTGAATTTGGCAGAATATACAGTACTTTGAATTATGGGCTGCAATAGATATTCAACTTGTTTAGCTGAAATGAGTTAATATAATGTGAGCAACAGTCTGCAGACCTCACTGTCTCATCAGTGTGCCGGGAATTAGTAAAGTAATGATCTGCAATTTCTGTGATCAGGAATTAAGAAAAAAGGACTTACACTGTAGATTTATCCTTAAATAGGTTAAAGCAATGACACTTGGAAAATGATCGCGACAATGAGTTACTGTTATTATCTGCAGTACAGATTTTAACTCTGCTGCTGGCATATGTCACAGAGCAAATTCATTTGCAAAAGGAATAACTACTGTAAAAAGGGTTAATGGATCAGCGCTACCCGATGCATCTTGGGCACAGTGTTCTGAAAGCATTATGTGCCTGAAAAGATAATTAAACGCTGTGAATTTGTAGCATCTATTTCTTAAGAATTGGTCAAAAGACACAATGCAGCTCTGTACTGCTGCCTGCAGCCGTGACTCAATCACTGGACAGAGGCAGCTTATGCTAATTAAACTCTAACAGAGGCAGTTTTCCCATAATGAGAATCAGCATTTACTATGATCTCCAATATTTTGGGAGTGTGGGAGGCTGGTGGATTGGAGTATATAACGGTTTTGTAATAAGTAGTGTCTATAATAAAAGCAGAGTAATTTGCCAATATTCTGGTAGTACTAGTGACCATAACAACCAGTTATGGTAAATAACTCGTTAGCAAAGCTGTTGTGGACTTGTGTTATAATTACACAGAGAGAAGGACAAAGGTTAGCAATCACTGATAAAGATCAAGTAGAGGGGCTGCATTCATGCAGTATACATTTCATATGTTAAATTTTTTATTTTATAAATCAGGCACCAAGGATTTTGAAGCACATATATAATGTTTAACAGAATTCAATCAGCAGTCATTTTGACATGTTTGAATATTGTTTGTGCATGTATCCCAAAAGAAAATAGATAGAATCCTTTATCAGAATATGTCAATTGTATCCACCAGATACAATGCCATAACGAACTCCAACATTTCTTCTACATACAGTAGCAAACATTCAAGCTTTTTATTTGGGATCTGCACAATATAATTAAGGCAGTAACATCAAATGAGGGATCTCAGTTTAAAGTGGAACTGGGAACCAGCGAGTAGTTATGGCAGCAGTACATTGCTTGTTTGGGCCATTGAAGGCTGGACCCCTAGGTTCTATAAAGTTTAGCCAGTTGATGTAAATTTTTTTATCTTTGTTTTTTTTTTAAATGTTTCATGTCAAACCTACAAATTATATATATATATAGTAAAATCTGCACTCAAAGGTTAGGTTGTAGCAGATCCTTATTATGACCTGGTGCCAAACTGAACTAGAATTTAGCAGAAAAATAAAACGTAACTTATTAAAAAAAAAAAATCTAAATCATTATGCGATGGTATTTGGTGTCAAAGCTCTCCCACATATATCCTGGCACATCCGCCACGTGCTGGAGGTGTTTGGGTCAAGTGGGCACCCTACAGCATATTTTGGGGGATTGCCCATGCATTGCTCAGTATTGGCAGGAACTTGTTAAATTCTTTCAGGAGGCATTGAAGATCAATATCCCCATGCACCCAGAATGCTATCTATTACATGTATTTCCCATCCCGCTATCTGAGGACATCAATCATGTACTAATACACTGCTTTATAGCTGCAAAAACTACAATTGAACAAAGATGGAAACAAACCCAGATCCCTACTCTGACTGATGTTCTAACGAGACTTGACACCTCAGGCCAATATGACAAAAATGGCGTGCCGCCTTCAAGGCAAAGAGAGTAAATATACAAAGTGATGGCAGAAATGGCTGTCAATAAGGGATTCATATTGGTAAAGTTCATTTACAAAATAAATAAATAAATATAATAAAACACACAGAAAGACGCAAATATACATACAATTAAATGAGGCAGTACATCCCTCTCGAGACTAAGCCATGGCGTAATACTACCCGAAGGAGACTCTAATACCTGGTGCTACACCCTCAGCCCAGAACGTAGACATATGTAGACCACAATATTACTAAACCAGGAATGGACAAAAAGGGAGTAATCCCCATCCAAAAAGGCACCGGAATACACCCACTATTTTCTTATTACATAGTTACATAGTTACATAGCTGAAAAGAGACTTGCGTCCATAAAGTTCAGCCTTCCTCACATTTGTTTTTTGCTGTTGATCCAAAAGAAGGCAAAAAACCCAGTTTGAAGCACTTCCAATTTTGCAACAAACTAGGAAAAAAATTACTTATTGACTCCAGAATGGCAGTCAGATTTATCCTTGGATCAAGCAGCTATTACCCTACATTAAAAAATGATATCCTTGAATATTCTGTTCTTGCAAGTATGCATCTAGTAGCTGTTTGAACATCTGTATGGACTCTGATAAAACCACTTCTTCAGGCAGAGAATTCCACATCCTTATTGTTCTTACAGTAAAAAAACCTTTTCTTTGCCTTAGATGATATCTTCTTTCTTTCAGTCTAAACGCATGACCTCGTGTCCTATGTAAAGTCAGGTTTGTGAATAGATTTCCACACAATGGTTTGTATTGGCCCCGAATATATTTGTAGAATGTTATCATATCCCCTCTCAGGCGACGTTTTTCTAAAGAGGTTTAAATTTGTTAAACTTTCTTCATAGCTGATATGTTCTATTCCTTTTATTAATTTTGTAGCCCGCCTCTGCACTTTTTCTAGTGACATAATACCCTTCTTTAGAACAGGTGCCCAAAATTGCACAGCATATTCAATATGTGGTCTTACCAGTGATTTATGAAGAGGCAAAATTATATTCTCATCCCGAGAATGAATGCCCTTTTTCATGCATGGCAATACCTTACTGGTCTTAGCCACTGCTGATTGACGTTGCACATTGTTGTATAGATTGTTGTCTATAACAATTCCCAAGTCCTTTTCGTGTGTTGTTATCCCTAATTGGCTTCCATTAAGGGTATACGTTGCTTGTGCATTCTTTACGCCAAAGTGCATAACTTTGCATTTTTCAACATTAAATTTCATGTGCTATTTGAGTGCCCAATTCCCCAGTCTATCTAAATCCCTCTGCAGTAAAGTAATATCTTGCTCACATTATATTACTTTACAGAGTTTTGTGTCATCTGCAAACACTGAAGCACGATTTTCAATGCTTATAGAATGCTGTTTCACTCTTACCCCCTTTTTTATGTTCCTGATTCTTGTTTGGTGTTACTCACTTTCTTTATATTTTCATGCTCAAGAGGTATCTTAATCACATATTAGCATAGGACCAATAAATGGTACAAACAAGACGGGATCAAACATTTCCATAAAAAAAAAAAAAAAGCAAAAAAAAAACTAAAATAATGATAGCGCTACCAAAGTGAACAATACATGAAAATACCAGCGAATTTGGTGGCGCACACTTTTTTGGAAAGCAATATCAAAGCCTTCCCATGAAAAAACCTACACTTACCCATCCAGGGGTTGTTATTCTGTACGGTAGCCTAGATACAAGCAACATTTCCATCTTATACAGGGAATGATGGCTATAATGCATGTACGAAGCATGTCAAATGCTCACTGTTAACGTCAAACTGTATTCTGATGTTTGATCTTACATACTGCAATGTACTGAATATGATAGACAACCTGTGCTAGTTATGCTAACTTACGTTCTTGCATACAGCACTGTACCGATTGTCATTGATAACTTGTGTTAGTTTTGTTAACTTACGTTTCTGTGCCATGTATACCTTACAACATCATTGAATAAAAAAAAATTATACATGGAAAAAAAAATAAAACATCGACGTTTCAGATTTTTTTTTTTTACATTCTTTATTTTTTTGCAGTGCATTGAAAGTCAGACAAGCTTTAGTGGACATTACCACATGAGTTGATAAGGCATAAGAACATTTAGGAAAAAAAAATACAATATATGGAATGCCAAGAATGCAGCACCACTTTTTTTCTTTTTTTAAATAAACAAAAAGGTATGGAAACAGGATATGCATGATCCCTGCAGATATTAGTAGATTACACTTTTATATCTTACAATAGGCATGTAGTGCTAGATCAGGCTATGCATCAAGCTATGTATCAAGCTAAAATAATCATAACTAATGAATAGTGTGTTACCGCATTCACTGCAGAAATAGGAGTAAGGTAGTAGGAAAATAGCATGCTATCTCAAGTAAACATGGGACTTGGAACATTGCCAGGGATGAAATATTAGCAGACACATGTATGACTGTGGTACTGGTGTCAAGTTAAACTGGGCATGGATCATGCTGTAAAACACACTTGGGGTGAACCATGTAATTGCAAAGTGGTTGTGCTATTCGAGTGGTAAGGACCCTGATTACTACTCCCTAGTGGGAAGATTAGTGTAGGGGGAATCAGTTATAATTAGCTGTGGTATGAGCATGTCCCTCCTGCCCTGATGCCACAGGTTGTTACCCTATACCCATGCTGACCAGCTTAGTGGCAGATGGAGATAGTGTACCGTTAGTCCAATTTTGGCCACTCCGCCGGCCCATGGCCTTCTCAAGGGCCCATGTGCAGTTCCCACCAATCTGGACGCTCTCAGCTCCGCTAGCAAGGTCCCGGGAGGTTGCGAGGTGGTTTTGCACCTTCCAAGCACGTGCAGTAAGCATCAGGTTGATTCTCCTCTGGGCCCTTGGACATTTCGGGACGTGATTTCTTCCTCACTGGCGTCCCATTCTCAGGCGCTGTCTGCGGTCTCCATCTCCTAATCAGCAGTTGGTGGCCCTACAATATCTTGTTTCGTTTCGGCAGGCATTCATTTGTCGCAGGAGTGGGTAGATTGCGCTTCTTTTGCTGCTTGGCCCTCTGCTGCATTCTCCGTCCCCTTTGGCTCACTGTTTGGGTAGTATTGGTTGCAGGTCGGCAGCCATGACACTGGTCCTCTTGCTGAAGGTAGACGGGTAGTTTCTGCAACGGGAGAGCAGCAGTCTGTTGTGGGGCAGATTGGTATAGCTTGTGCTCTAGTTTCCTCCAGAATGCATCAAAGTGTTTGTTCAGTTGTGTCAGGATATCATGGGTAGTTTTGTTGGGACCTTCAACACATGTTGTGTCCGCCATCTTAAGTTGCTCTCCCTGCCCATGTAACCCCCACTGCAGTATGCTTGGGGTTGCCTCACTTGAGTGGTTACCCCCGCCGGACCGATGGAGTGGGTAACAGGGCTTGCTAGTGCTATAGCCAGCACCAGGGCATCTCCAGGTCGAGGGAACGGCCGCCTCTCCTGCCTGGTGTGTTCCAGGCTGCAACCTCAAGCGCTGTACCTGCGGGCCTTGATTGTGTCGCATTTTGCCCACACTGTAAGTGGATAGTTGGATCCACCGCTTGTCTCACAGGATAAGGCTGTAATTTGCGGGTATTGCTCGGATTGTGCGGGAGCTCGTGAAAAACACGACTCTCCGCCATGATGGCCAGCCCTCGCTCCCGACATTTCAGATTTACACCAACTCTTTCATCTAAGAAAATATTTAATAATAAAAGTTTAAATAAAAGTTACATCTTTATAGTTCTACTACGTTCTATAGTGCTATCCTTTCTACAACATAATATAATATAATACGTAAATATATAAATAAATAGATAAATATATGTGAATGTTTTACATATAATCTATATAGCACATTTAAAACGGTCAGAGTAAAATTGTGCCGGATTGACCCTTTAAAATTAAAACGCTGGCCTATGCGCAGAGATAGAAATGACTGAGATACTGGCTTTAGTATACCCAGGCAGTTTCATTGAGTTTGAGAGCTCTGCTACAGCACAAAATCCACCTGTTATTTTGTTATTGCTTTCTATTTCTAAATAGGATCCCTACAGACAATATAATGTAAGATTCCTATCATCTTTCTTATTCCACTCATCAGCTGGGCACCTGAATATCTACTACACAGCCACATGCATACACACAAGTCTATAGGTTTGTATGAAATGCACATATTTTGTAGCCTAACAGATTTGAAGCACTGCATCACTGTATTCCCACTGTGTGCCGAAGCAGTGGAGATCAGTGAAGATGAAATTGTACATATATTTTATTAAGCCTCCCTGTTATATTTATTGTAGTTTTCCCATTTTTATGTCATAGACATTTTGAGTGAAAGGACAGATTGTGATTGTTAGACGGTGCCTGATGCTTTCTCTCAGGCTGTGTTTTCAGAGCTAACATGTACTGGCGCAGCGTTTAGAGACGCGGTTTTCTATTGTCTGAGTCTCCGAATGTTCAGCTAATTAGAGCAGTCTAAAGATTGATGATATACGTACTGTGTATAAATCACATCTAAACATAGTTCAGATCTGATAAATGTTTTTTATCACAAGGAATTTATCACCATCTATTACTCTTGAGCGCGTACAATATAATTGGGTGTGTGTATATCTTTATAAAAATAGAAAAGCCCCAGAAATGCCTGAGTTCTATACATGATTATACTTCGAGAAGTCCATTCTGGGCTAGATGGCACAAGGCATCGGAAACAGCCCTACATTTTATCGGAAGCTATTTTAGGGGAAATGTAAAACAGGTACACATTGTTTGCACCCATCAAAAAACATAACTAAAAAGCCTGCCAAGGGATGAACTACTTTACAACAATTTGTATTGCAAGTTACACTCTAAGTAATTAAATCATATAAGTGGTACAATAACAAACCAGGATTAGTGATGTCCCAAATGGTTCGCCGAACGGTTTGCCGAACGGTTCGCCGAACGGTTCGCCACGGACGGTGAACCGTTCGGGACATCACTAACCAGGATGCACACCAAATGTATTGCAAATGTTACAATATCTTTTACAAAAACAATAAGATAGGCTTCCCTTGAGAAATACATCTTTTTGTGCTTAAAACATTTTTTTTTTTGTGACTTAAGTAGTGCTCGGGTAGGCTATTGATGTTAATATTGTGATATAAGGATGTATAGATTCTAGCCTTATCACTATGGTTTTTGCCTTTTGTATGTCCTATTATCTTATTGTTTTGTAAATAAAGATATTCAGTAGATTTGGAGTGCATCCTCGTTTGTTATTGTATACGAAATTCACTTCTAACATTGGTGCAATGATGGATTAATGTTCACACTGGACTTGATTCTTCTAACCTACCTTCCGCACAGCAACAAACAGCTGCTTGTGCCTCCATCTTGGGTCTTTGTCAATCATTGTTATGAGCGAGTTGCACATCAAGTGAGGGTGAGTCAAGTGTATATGTGTGTGTTTTGTGCACGTGGGCCAGTGTGTGCATCTGTGTAAATGTGTGTCAGTTTGATCATCTGTGCATGTGTGTGTATATGTCAGTGTGTGCATGTATGTCTGTGTGTATATGTGCATGTGTGTATATGTGCATGTGTATATGCATATATGTAACTATGTGTGTGTCACCATATCTGTTAATGTGTGTCAATCTATATGTTTTAGTGTGTATTTCCTAGAGTATATATGTGTGTGGCAGTGTATGTGTGTGTATCTGTGTGTGACAATGTGCATCTGATTTGATTCCTATCAGAATGTTTTGATCAAACCAATGCAAAACTCTTTTTCTACATGCAGCAGACAAATTAAGAATTGTAACAAGTTAAACCACCAAGTACCACATAATATTGATTTACATGGTCAATCAGTAACACAATATACTATTGTGTTGTGTTTAAAACATGGCAGAGCAACCATAGTACCCAAGATTAAAAAAGTTTGACTAAAAGGAAACTATTCAATAGAATAATATGTTTATTAGTAAAAAAAAAAAAAAGACCCTTTTGAAATTCGAAACCAATATTTTATACAATATTAATATATTGTTACCTGTACCCCTCTGCTTAAGGAAGGATGAGGAAAATTGATTGACACCCCACTGTCCAGTCATGCTTCATCATGTGTTTTATCTTAATCTTTTTTTAGCAACTAGGCCATTGTATTTCACATTCATTGATTCTGGGATATGGGACCTTTAACATCACGTCCATTGACTTCTGGGAAATGTCCAGAATCCCCTGATGAAAACACAGTGAATCACATTCATCTACTGAGTGCCCTAGTCTTCCGCTTACCAAGGACAGACAGAATGTGTTAGACGTCGGCAAAATGTATGATATGTTGGCCTTCTCTGGCTGCGGATTTAAGTCGGAGAATAAATCTCTGTATTAAATTGAACCTGTCACCAAATATTTTGTGGAAGATTTGAAAATAAAATTGATCTAAAATTGAAATTTTACTCCGACATTGTTTAACACTTAACATGTTCTCACATTTCTCATTCTCTCCTGATCACACCTTCTGTAATTCCCTATATTCTCTATTAATTATAATCTTTACTCTCTCTGTCTGTATAACCTTAAATACTGTTTAAATGGCTTAGTGCCAGAGGGATGAGGCATGTGTTGCTTTACCCTCTGGTATAAAAAAAAGTTAGCCCCAAGCACTGCTCATTGTTATTTCAGACAAATATTTATCTATGTAATATAGGGCGTTGGTTAAAGAATACTGCTGTGCCCTTTTTATTATATTAAACCATATTATATTAAATTATATTATATTATATGCTATGCTTTATGTGATAACAGTAAAATATGAAACGTATTCTTTTATGTTTCATTATGGTAATCCAGGTTAAGAACCTTTGTAATTTGATGTAACTATATTTTTGCGTCATAGAACATCAGTAATATTGTCACATTAGAATTCTTTGCATAGACCATATGTTCTTGTTGGCACACATACAAAAGGAAAATGTGAACTGCACTGAAGTTGGGTGGAGGTGTACCCATAGATGTTTCAGGGTTAGCCCAGAAACAAAAAGTGCTTAGAGGGAACAATCTCAGAAACTGTTGCCTCCATCCCTAGCTAAAGGGGTGATATCTCTCCCTCCAGGTATACGTGCTAGCTCAATAAACTAGAATCAACCATTTACAGGGTATTTTTTTTTACAGGGAAAAGTCAGCTTGTCAGGGCACCACAGTGTGCTGAGGGTTACAGTTACCCCTTATGTCCACTGACAGTCTGTATCCAGTATATGGAAGGAATCAAGCTGTGATAGCTGATATGCTTAAAACTTGCAGGCTATTCAGAATAGATTTTAAGAATTAAAACATCCTAAAATCTAATTTTAAATCCCTTTATGATGGTGCCAAACAATGTCTGTGACCTCATTTAAATACACGAGTTGATGTAAATACAAAACACATATAATAGTAAGGGTCACGGTCAATGCCCCTATAAAAAAACATAAAATAATCCTCCCAGTATATTTAACATCGCCTCTTTTAATCCTGACATTTTTCACTCTGTCAAAGTGGCACTTTGTACAGCATCCATTAGAAAGATTAGTCTCCGGATAAAGAGCTTAGTAAACAGCAACAGCCAAAACATGTATTACGGTGTAACAGGCTTCATTAGCACAGTAATTCGTCATTTACATTGGGGATGATATTTCAATGACTGCTTTTATACAGGTGATATATAACTGTATTGATCTAAATATGATGCCTGGAGGATTTATATTAATGTTCCAGAAATGGTCTACTGCAGGAACTACCCATTTAATACCCTTCCAGCAATCGTTAGATTAGAAGTCCCATCATTCTCAACCAAAGTCTGGATTCCCAAAATATAAGTGGGAACTCAACCCCAGAGAGAAGAAAAATATTTTATTAGATGCCAATTGAGCCTGAGCAAAGCTTATTTTTATAAAGAACAGACAGGAAATTTGTCTAGAATGCAATTTTTTAGGGTATGCCACAAAAAGTGTGCCAGACAGGGCCGGATTAACATAGGGGTTGATGGAGCTGCAGCTCCAGGCCCAGGCTCATGGAATAGGCCCATTTAAAAAAAAATAATAATAATATATTTTTTTTTTTACACACTACTCTTAGGTTTGCCACCTGACTGATATTTTACTGGCACAGCCGGTATTTAAGGTCTGCCTGGCCGTGCCGGTATTGCAGTAATACCGGCAATACAAATACAGGCATTTTTCTCAGTATAAACAGAGATTACTCTGCAATACCAGCACCGGCCAGTAGGGGTCACTGTGTGTGTGGAGAGAGGCAGGGATAGGAAGTTACAGCATATCCTTGCCACTCTCTACAACTCACTGATCCGCGGGGGAGCAGCTACACAGCACAGAGTCCAGACAGCAGCTATACAGCTCAGGTAAGTGAGGCATGGGGGGAAGGGCAGCAGGGAGACATGGGGACACAGACACTTGGGGACACTGATATACTTGGGGACACTGGAAAACATAGGGACACTGAGACACTAGGGGACACTGACACATGGGGATGCTGTAAGACATA